TGGGGGTCTTTCCCCACAGCCACAGCCGGCCTCAGCAGCCGGGCCAGGCACACAGCAGGAGCAAAAAGTCGGCGCAGGCCAGCTGGGGCAGCAGAATGCAGGGTGGTAGGGGGGCAAACGGGCATATATGGGGGGGAGATGGGGGGGAGATGGGGTGAGTTGAAGCACTCCTGCAGTTGTAAGTGTGGGTCAGCTGCCAAACACCTGAATGTTGATCACTTGACCACAGGGGCACTGCAACGGCCGTAACTTTGGGCACCGGTTGTAAGTCACATTTTTCAGTGCATCTGTAAATTTGAATGGTCGCTGAATTAATGGTTGTCAGTTGAGGACTACCTGTACGTACTTGGAAGGTAATACCCATGAAACCAATATGGCTTACTTGTGAATAAGCAGAGCTAGAGAAAGAGCTGGGGAGGAACGAAGAATCACAGCAGGACAGGAAAGCAACACACCTGCAGAGCTGATTTATTCAAACACTCCCATTTCTATCTCATGCACAACTTCCACATATATTCACTTCTCTAACATAAAGCTCTATGTTTACAAGCAGGTGGTAATAAATATGTACTTAGTATTTGAAGCAAACAGAGGCTGCATTTTCACACAACTGTGTAATATCCTAAATGGGGACAGGCCTAGATGGAATAACTGATGCTTCTGCATACTGAGAAAACCTGGTCTTAACATATATTCTGAGAAAATAACATATATACTGAGAAAATATGGTCTTAACATATATTCTGAATCAGGCTGTCATATGATTCCAGTTGAAATTCCAGGGAAATGATAAGGTCTCATGTTAGACTGACTTGCAGGAGCTCTTATTTTATGCTTACTCAAAGTTTCCTAGGATGATACAGTACATGTAAGAGATGGACTCCCAATCCCATTTACTCCATTAAGGATATTAGACTAGGAAGTAAAAATAAAAATCCTGGAAGACACCATAGCAACCCCCTTTCATAACTGTTATTAAGAAAACTACGGACCTGTGTCCCCAGATTCCCCAAGATTTGAACTCAATTTTTTCTACCAGGAGGAAAACAAGGTGTGTGTCTTTTGTATAATCAACCCTCCTCTCTCCGCCTTTTTGAAGTTAGGACCCCATGCCCTCGTAAACTCTCCCTCTCCCCATTATAGATCTGGCCATTCTGAAAGGCAACAGCTTTGTGGGTTCCCTATACAGTAACAGGAAACCCAACCTGACATTAAAGCTTAGTGCAATGAGAATCCATACAAGGCTCATTTGTGGCTCACTTGGATGTATCCCATGATCCCTGCCAACTGGGGCTTATTCAACAAATCATAGCTTGGCTCAATTGTTAATCATTGGTTTGTTTATAATTGTGCTGAGCCATAATGAGGCACGTTTGCCTTCTGTTTATCAGCATGCATGAACCTCGCCCCGAGTGTGCTTTTAGAAGCTCATTCATGCATTATACAGTACTGCAAAAGGGTGGCAGTTACCCCAACACATGGAGAAAATATAAAAGTCAGATATTTTAAAGAACACCACATACAAGGGGGATAATCACAGGAGCGTGGGTTTGGCCAGATACACTGCAATGCATCTTGGTTGTATGTTCACTACATCTTGAATGTAGTGTAGTTTATAGTAGTGCTGTGTAAAATGGCTGGCTTTTCAGTGAATCAATCTAACACCTCCGAGAAGCCATGGAAGTCTTTATATTCAGGATCTGAAGATTACAGTAGCACCAAACTACCCTTTCGGTGTACTATTGGGCTTCAAGTCCCATCATCCTTATCCCACATGCTGTCTGGAGAAATTAAGAGCTCCGAACTGAAATCTTGCCTACGCCTTCTCGGGAAGGCTGTCCTAAAACACGGTCCGATCTGGTGAGGCTTGATTGGTGAACCCGGTCCACCCATACTGCCCAATGACGGACTCCAGAAAGGTCGTTAGAAGGGACGAATCCGAGTCAGGCTGGGGTGAAGAAGTGTTTGCTGAGCCAGCCAAAATGCACACCGCGGGTTTACGGCGCTGCTGCGGCTGGCTACGCTGCACTCTTCGTGCAAGCTCCCGATGGAACCCACGACAGCCTTTAGGCCATGGCCAGCAGTCCCAGGG